GATGGGAGGGCAAGGTGGTGTAAATACCCAGCAGTCATTGCTTTTCTTAGTTTCCACTGCTCAACCTAGAAGCCACACTGTTTGAGTATGTCATCTTAATTTTACCCTGTATGCACCCCAAAAGCTGTCTAGTTCTCCAGTCTTTCCCTCAAACAAAACAAGCGGTGAAATTATAGATAATTTCTGTCTTAGTTTCCCACAATTTTAAAGGAAATAAACACGCAGGGTAGTTTCTGTTATGTTACTATGATAAAATATGCTGATCCCAAGTGACTTAGGTAAGAAAGGACTCATTCTGGCTCACAGCTCTGTGTAGATAGAGTCCATTATGGTGGGGGAGACATGGCAGCAGGTCACATTTCACCCTCACTTAGGACATAGAGAGAGGACAGCAAATGGGACATGCTGTAACACCTCAGGGGCTGCCCCCTGTGACATACCTCCTATAGGCTTCACAACCTCCCCATACATCATCCACCAGCCGGGGACCAAGTATTGAAACATGTGAGCCTGTGGAAAACACTTCATGTTCAAACCAAAACATAAGTATCTTTAAAAGAACAAAATATAAGATATCTTTAAAATTAAAATAAGATACTTTAGGCATTATGTTTAATTGAGTCTGTTTCATCACTTTAAAAATATATTTTTGTCAGGTATCTATTTCTATTTAAAAGTGTGGGTCAGACCTCCGCTGCTATGGACTCTGTGATCATAGCCGTGGTTCGATCATGTGCCTGGTCCTCTGAATTGATGGTCTCTAGCCACTTAGGGCAACTGCACAGCTATGGAGATAGCTTGTATTTTCTGCCAGGTGGCCCTGAGAGAGAGGGTGATCTCTTGGACTGGCGCCAGTATCTGGTTTTTTCTAGAGTCACTTGCTAACGAGCAGGGCAGTTTTCTTTGGCCTCACCTGGAAGATGAGGTTTTGCAGTAACCAATTGTTTCCTTGAGTTTCTTGGAGGAAATTCTTACAAACAAGGAGCATTTGTTCAGCTTTTGCAAATGTGTGTTGAGTGTCTACCTGTCCCAAATTCAGCATAGTGAGCTGGCTGAAATTCCTCTCAAGGGCTATTGCCTGAAGGAATGATTACAAAGTTCAGGAGCAAATGCCTACCTGGATAGCCACCCAGTCTGTGGCCCTTTTCCTTTTGCAGGACCACACCACCCCAATCCCATTTTGTATTCAGTTTTAGTTTGTTTTGTTGCCTGAGACAGGCTCTTGCTAAACATCCCAGGCTGACCGTGGACACCCAGTCCTCCTGCTTCAGTCTCTCAAGTGCATACCTGGCTCAGCATCTCACAGAATTTCCCCATTAACTGTTGCATCTGCCCTGTGCCTGCTATGGACATGGCTTTGCAGATCTTGGTGGCTTATTGGTTTTTTAAGGAATGGTGGAACCCAGAGTGTCACCCAGCTAGAAAGGACAGTGACAGGCCTCAGACTCCTTTCTTGATACTTTGTTAGGACCCTTTCTCCTATCTAAACTAGAATCCTGTGTGGTAGTTGTATACTTTATACATGTCCCCAAGCCTTTCCAATTTGTTTATTAGCATTGCCTGGATTTATTTAGCCAGTATGTTTCACAACAGTGTGTCAGTTGAAGCAAATTCAAAACTGTCCTCTAAGGCTGAAGAGACAGCTCAGTGATTTGTAAAGCACTTGCTGTGCAAGCCTAGGGCCCTAAGTTTGAATCCCACAACCCCATGTAAAAGCCAATCATGGTAGCATACATCTGTAATCAGGTTTATCCTAAGGTGAAATGAGAGGCAGAAGCAGGAGGGTTTCTGGAGGCTCAAGGCCGGCTAGCTTGGTGTATGCTATATCAAACAACATAAGAATTCACATTTGGAGGGCCTAGGCCCTGCTCCAAATGATATGACAGATTTTGAAGATCCCCCATGGAAGGCCTCACCCTCCCTGGGGAGTAGAAAAGGGATGGGATAGGGGCTTAGTAGGGGACAGGGGAAGAGGGGAGGGAGAAGGAACTGGGATTGACATGTAAAGAAACCTTGTTTCTAATTTAAATAAAAAAAGAAGAGAGAAAAAAAGAAAGATGGCATCTCAAGGGTGGCTCAGCAGAGGACCTGAGTTCAGGTCCTAGTCAGGTGGCTCATGGCTGCCTGTAACTCCAGCTCCAGGGCATCTGTCTCCTTCTGGCTCCCTCAGGTACTATACACATGTGCACAAAACCAAGCACAAGCGTGTGTGTGTGTGTGTGTGTGTGTGTGTGTGTGTGTGTGATATAATTTTTTTAAAGAAAGGTGGGTGGCACCTGAGGAATGACACTTGAGGTTGTCTTCCAGCCTCCATGATCATGACAATGTGGGTGCGAAGAAAGCCACAGTGTTTGGTAAATGCTACTTTAAGGCTCTGATCTCTGTAGCTTCCTGGAGCATCTCTATCTATTGAAACATGGCTCTTCCAAGTCCACGTAGTCTTTGAGCTATAGAGGGCCTGGTAATGTGTCTCATCCAGGGTCTCCTACCCTGTGCTGCCCCATAGACTCCCTAGGACTAACCTGAGGAAGAGGGGCCTACCCCATTCAGCTGCAAATGCTCCTGGATACCTGATCCAGGGTTAAAGCCTTTTTCACTGTAAAAGTCTAGCTCTTCTCCCTGGAGCCCATGACAACACCACAATATATTACTACCTGCTTGAACCAAGCTTCAATTTGTTCTGATTCATTGCCTACCTCACAGTCCTTCTAAAATCTCAGTGTGTGGACTTGACTTCCTGGTAGTTCCCAAAGTGAAGGGAGTCTGGGTTCCGGGGAATGTGAGTGTCTTCAAACACACAGGCAGCTTCCAGGATCCCTGCAAAGGCCTCCTAAGCCTTTAAGTATTTCCTCTCTTAAATCATACAACACCAGCACAGTCAGAGCATTGTCAGGTCCCTCCTTCCTTGTGTGAGACAGCCAGTCATTTGCTCTCCCGGCTAGACAGGCTGTGGCGTTCTTGGCAGTTAGCTGCATTGTGCTTTTCTTGGGTTTATTTGAGTGATGTTTTTAAAGTTGTGTTTGGGGGAAGAGAGTTTTTCCTGAAAGAAATGATTTCTTCCGTCTGCGTTGGAAACATGAGTTTGACTCTCTTTTGGCGTGTTTATGGCCTGGATGACAGACCAGACATGTGAAAGGAAGCTTTATCCATCACTTGTGCTAATGCCGTGTCTTTTATTTAACATCTTTCCATTTGGGTGATGCAAATCCCTAAAACCAGCCCAGTGATGGATCACCACCACTTAGCGGGACACATGGCTACTCTGCCAAACTTTGGTCTCTGTGTAAAATTTAATTCTACTTCAACCTAGAGTAGGTCTCTTAGTGTCTGTTGGGTGGTGGGTTAACCTGAGCAGGTTATGGGCATAGCGCCCAATGAGGCACAATATGTCATGCATGATAGCACATCAAGTCAGCACACGTGAGAAATGGCCAGGGCTAGGGGCCATATGACCCTCAAATTATGTTGAAACTCCACCCCCAATGCAATAGTGTGAAGAGGCGTAGGAGGTTTCCAAGGTAACCGGGTCACAAGGTCTCTCTTCTTTTACCTTGTGGAAGCCCAGCAACAAGGCCCCACTTCCCAAGGAGACACAATTCCCCAACCCCCCAGCACCAGCTGACAGATCCTTGATCTTGGCTTCTGGAACTGTGAGAAATAATTTGTTGTGTTTTATTAATTAGTCAGTTTCTGTATTTTTTAATAGCAGTATATATAAACTAACTTGTTTATTGAAAGATGCAGGCACTTCCTCTCATGAGTATAAGAAAAACCATTATGGACAGGGCAGTAAAACAATACTTTCCAATGGCAGGGGCCACAGGTGGAGAATGTGACAACAGTGGCAAGTTCTTGTACCTTCCTGAAATAGACAATCAATGCTATACTTAATGTCTTAGATACAGCTTTTGAGTATATTTGGAAGTGCCTTGTAGACACACATTAAAAGCTTGCAAACTAATGGTCCACTCAAAACAATATCAATAGACTTCAAAAAATCCATCAGTCTGTGTACCTATATCTATCTATCTATCTATCTATCTATCTATCTATCTATCTATCTATCTTTCTCCCTCCCTATCTCCTCCCTCTCTCTCCCTTCCCAGACCCCACTCCAGTTATTTACCTTTTTTTAATTGTGAGCTTTTTTCCCCCTTTTTGAGACAGGCTAGCTTCAAGCTTACTATGGCCAAGGACAGTTTTGAATTTCCACTCCTGACTCCATCTGCAGAGTGCTGGGATCACAAGTATGCACTACTATACCTAGCTTATGAAATGCTAGGTTAAGATCAAACCCAAAGCTTCAGACTTGCTGAACAAGCACCCCGCCAACTGAGCTATAGCCTCAGCCCTGAGAGATTTTTCACCAATATAATGGTGGTTTTGTTGATTTGTGCTCCTGGATTTGGTACATGCTGTAACATCTTGCCTGATGTGGACCAGGCACAAGCCTGGGAAAGACATCAGGGTGTTGGATTCTCCTGGTGTCTTAGTTACTTTTCTAATGCTGTATTAAGACACTTTGATGAAGGCAACTTACAGAAGAAGGAGTGTATTGACTTTTGAAACCTCCAAGCCCATCCCCAGTGACACACCTCCTCTAACAAGGCTGCAGTAAACCTCCTAATTCCTTCCAAACAATTCCACCAACTGAGGAGCAAGAATTGAAAGAATCTGTAGGGCCATTCGCATTCAACCCACCACACCTGGTCTTGGGGAAACCCTCTAAGTTTCAAAAATGCTTCTTCCTGGAAATCACAAAAGTTGAGTATGAGAGGAAGCTGACTTTCAAGTTCACGGTCATCCTTCCATCCCTGCAACTGTCAGAGGCTATGGGGGGGGGGGTCAGAGGCAAGAGCTCTTGTTTGTACACTGAGGTACAGATATGAGTTGTGACCCATAAGAACATTGGGAGCCACATCTGGAGGGCTTGTCAGTGACTTCCCATCCAGGCCCAGCCACAGGGGTAGCAACATGTCACAGGAAGCACCTGGACCTACCTCCACCTTGGTAATGCTGGCAGTCATCCCCTCCAGGGAAATCAGCCTCTTCATCTGGAAAATGGGCATAAAATATCATCTTGAAATGTTATTAAATAAGGTATCTACAGAGCAGGCATTCAATGAATATTTTCTTCCTTGCACCAGATAATGTAAGCCAAGACTCGCTCACCTGGCCGTGGCTTCTATATCTGGGTGTAAAAGCATTAGCTGTTGGGATGGTAAGGCAAGCTTTTTTAAGGAACTCACCCATTTCTTGACTGGATGTGACTGAATCAGGAGCAGAGGGACATCTTAGTGCTAGATAGAGCTGGTATTTATACCTCATAGAAGGCAAGGAAGAAGTCTGGGCTATATGACACCTTGTGACAAACATACTTGATTTTTAAAAAAATACATAGTATAGGGGTTGAAATACCCACTTCAGGACAACCTGACTACTGTGATGTCTATTTCCTCCTGGCCTCCCAGCCTTCTTGCAGCTGGATAGGGCCAGTGAAAAGTGGACCAGTCCTGATGATCCCCTGCCATTTCCCCTCCCCATTTTCTGAGTGATTAGCAACACCTAGCATGACCTTGGAAATAACATGCTCAAATTGCAGTGCATCAGGAAATCTGGGTCCCTCAGAGGCCCTGAACAGCAACGTATTCCTGCCCCAACATCTAGACTTGAGCCAAGTAAGCAGCTCTTAGGTACTGCTGAGATTCCAAGGTGGACTTTCTCTTAACTAATGTAATGAACCCACTGAAACAAGGGGTATGCTCTGAAAAATGCCCCCCCTCTTAGGACAACACTTGACATTCCTCAGAACGGGACAGCACATTTTATGTTTGGTCACCATGGGAGAAAAAAATTTCATAGTTGTCTAAGAATGAACTCTATCGTTTATTTAAAATACTCTCTGTCTACTGATCATAAGGCACATGGAATGTGGTTCTCTGTCAGCGAGAGGTCTGTTTGAGTTTTTTTTTTTAACCCAACAGTTTCAGCTGAAAGCTGGAGTTAGTGATTAACAATAAGAATTGTGCTTTAAATGAGATTAAACACTCCTGCTGCCAGGTGCTGGGTTGAGTGGGGATCTTAGAAGAAGAGAAACAACTATTATTTTTCTTTATCTTAAACTTAGAAATTAGAAAATTATTCAGTTTTGCTCTAAATATTTGTCTGAATTGGTATCTTAGGTTTATTGTGTCCTAAACAAAGCACACTGAAAGCAATTTTATCTTCCTGGAATTCAGCTTCAGTAAATCTAAAATGCAGGGTATCATGCTCTAGAATTGAGGAGCAGTTGGGGACTAGTTTGTTAACACTAGGCTCGCAACCAAAAATATAAGGGAAGCAACTGTGGGCAGGGCTCACATCTACCCTGACCTAATGCATGACACAATGCATATAAATAATGCACACAGTAAATATCAAGGCCTTTGACCCTTCCTTAGTAGTGTTGTTTGTTGGAATTTGCTTTGGAATTATGAGCCTGAATTATCATGTCTGACTGCCCCCCTCCCCAACATACACTAAATGATGCTGGCAAGCACTGTGTCATCACATTGACTATTGTCCTTTTTGATGATTTTTTTCTGGTCATTTTGGCTGGTCACTGTGGTATTTGTCTTCTTTGAGCCCCTCCTCTTAGAGGGAAGAATAGGAAATAGCCATAGAAGAAATTATTGTTAAAAATATGAACTATTAAAGCAGCTAGGGTAGCTTTACTTAGAGACAGGACTGGCTGGTTCTACAGGTAGAGTTTAGCAGAACTCTCACTGTGGTCTTGCTGGACATCCTGCCAGCTCAGCCTCCATGGCTAGGAGAAATGGAAAGAGGAAATAGGTAAGGAGAAAAAGATGTCTAGGGTTTGAAATTACTTTGAAGTTACAAATGATGTGACCAGGTATTAAAACAACAACACAATTTATTGCCCAGCAGAATATACTGACACTTTCAATGTGGTATCAGTTGAGGTACCAGTGACTTGAGGAACTTCAGGGATACCTTTCCTCCAAGAATCTCCTCATCCAGTGTGCCTTGGCAAGGGAAGGCTCACCTAATCTCTTTGGATTGGAGCAATGTTTCTCTTCTTTCATGCAAATGCTTGCCTAGTAGATATACATTGACCTCCACTATGAGCTGCTCTCCTTGCCTCCTCCAAAATCCCACACAGGGCTCTGCCATCAAAACTTCATAATCTAGTTAAGATAAATACACAAGAAATGTGTGCTGAAGATTGGGGAAAGGGGCCCAGAGGAAAAAAATACAGGCAAGAAAAGGAAATATCATGGGAGAGGTACGGGGGACACTTTCACTTAAATTTGGGGTGAGTATGCCTCATGGAGACTAATACCCAAGAGGAAGTTGCCCTTGCCAGACAAAGGAGGAAAGGAGAGAAGATGGGGTGGTGTTAAGAGAAGCTTTCCTTGAGAAGGAGCCTTCCCGCCCGCCTGGTTCCAGAGCCGCTTTCCCACCAGCCTGGTTCTAGAGCCGTATCAGTCCCAAATAAACACACAGGAGGCTATATGAATTATGAAGCTGTTGGCCTTGTTTGTTTCTTACTGGCTAGCTCTGACTTAAGTAATTACCCCATAATTGTTAATCTAAGTATGTCTCTTACCGGAGAATAGTTCCCGGCTTCCTTCCCCATGGCGTCACATCTCGACTCTCTTGTGTTTCCCTTTCCCAGAATCCTCCTCGACTCCTAGTCCCTTCTATCTAGGTTTTCTATTGGCCAGACAGCACTTTATTGACAACTGCACAGGCAAATAACAGGACTTCCCCAACAGGTGGAGTTTACAGTCACAGGCGAAGTAAGCAGGGAGGAGCTGCAGCTGGAAAGACATAGAGTAACAGCCATGGTTGAGAGTGATGGGATGGGCTAGGTCCTACAGCACTTCCTGGTTCTGCTAAGGACTGCTCTTTTAAATATTTTATTAGGAACTGGGGCCGTGGCCCACTGGTTAGGAGTACTGGCTGCTCTCCCAGAGGTTCTGTGTTCAATTCCCAGCAACCATGTGGTGGTTCACAACCTTCTATAGTTGGATCTGATGCCATCTCCTAACATAAAGGCATACATGCAGACAGAGCACTCATACACATAAAATAAATAAGTAAATCTAAAAAAGGGTACCTTAAAAGTTATTATAAAAATATTTTAATTAATTCTGTATGAATTTCATACAATGTATTTTGATCACACTCACTCCTAACTCCTCCCAGCTCCACCATGACCTTCCTACACCTCCAACATTGTGTCTATTTAAGTAAATATTTTAATTAATTCTGTATGAATTTCATACAATGTATTTTGATCAGACCCATCCTCAGCTCCTCCCCCTCACTCATTCTATATCCATCCCCTCAGATTTCTTCATCTACTTCAACTGGTGCTGCTCATTTACAGGATATGGGGCTGTCCATTGGAGCATGGTCAACCTACACTTAAAGAAAATTGGCTCTCCCTCCCAAGAAGACATCAACTCTCCATAGCTCCTCAGGGATGGGGTTTTCAGGCCCCTTTCCCAGTCCATGCTAGAATAGTGACTGGCTTGATCATGTGCAGATCCCGTGCAGGCAACCACAGTTGCTGTGAGTACATGAGCAGAGTCCTATCACATCAGGAAGACACTGTTTTGCTCTGATCCTCCCTGCCCTCTGGATCTTAGCCTTTCTACCCCGTCTTCCACAATGGTCCCTGAGATTTGGTGGGGAGTGGGGGCATGGATGTCCCATTTGTGGCCGACTCTCTTCATTTTAACCTGCTAAAAGTTTATATATTAGCCACCATCCATATCACAAAGAAGTTTCTCTGATGAGGTCTGAGAGCAGCACTGTTCTATGAGTAGAGAGATCGGAATTTAGACAGCAATATAACATTAATTCTACTTGGCCAAATAATAATAAGAGGTTCACCCTGGAGCTGTGGGCTTCCCAAGCACCAGTTCTTGGCCAGACTTACAGTATAAGTCATGTGGTTCCTCTGCCATTCTGTGGACTTCTTCATTCAGGCCCCAAGGCTTCTCATTTATCTCAAGGACTATAGGAAACCTTAAGGAAAATAGAGGTCTATAGTCAAACTTTCTTTGGACTGACAGCCCCTGAATAACAACATGGAGACTTTTTATTAATTATGAAATCTTGGCCTTAGCTTAGGCTTGTTCCCAACTAGCTCTTATAACTTAAATTAACCCATCTATATTAATCTATGTTTTATTTACCATGTGGTTCATTACCTCGCCTCAGCTCCATATATCCGACTCCCTCTGTGGCTCACTGACCTGTGATTGTTTCCCAGAGTTCCTGTCTCTCTCCAGAAGTCCTGCTTATCCTCTCCTGCCTAGCTATTGGCCATCCAGCTCTTTATTAAACCAATTAGAAGGTACCTTAGGCAGTTGAGGAAGGCCAGAGACACATCTTTACACAGTTTGCAAAAAGATTATCCCAACAGGGGGCAGCTTGTTTCTGCTCTTGGTTTATAATGTCACTCAGGGTAGAATCTCAGAAACCAGTTAGGAGCTGATTGAAACTGTCTGGGGAGATAGGTGGCTTGGTCATTAGAGAAAGTCATTAAGCAAGTGGCTGAATTCAGTCACAATTACAGGGTGATTATGGGCTCAACTGTGGAGACAGAGGCCCTGGGTTTGAATTTCTGCTTCCCCCCTCAGTGGCCAACCTTTTGACCACCAGTTTAGCTTCTCTAAGCCTTGGTCCCTTAATCTGAAAAAAGACCTTATGGGTTAACTTGGCATGTGATGTAATTGATACAGTGCCATCATGCTTTTTAGCACAGTGTTTAACAGCATAAATTAAGTCTTCACTAGATGTTATTTTACTTTTGTTGAAAGGCAGGGAGAGGTAACATTTCAACTGAGTTATTAGTTGCCTTGAATTAGTACCTCAGATACATTAGCTTTCTGTGTCTGTAATAAAATACCTAAGATAATTAATTTAGGGGGAGGAGGAGATACTAGGTTTAGAGATGGTTATTCATTGAAGCATTTACCTTACATGAGTGAGGACCTGGGCTCCATCCTTAGAACTCACATAGAAGTACTGGATGTGGTGACACTCATGTCATTCCAGGGCTGAAAATGCAGAACCAGTGGATCCCTGGGGTTCCCTGGTCAGCCAGCCTCGCTGAATTGGAAATTTCCAGGTAAAAGACCCTGTCACCCTGTCTTAAAACACACACACACACACACACACACACACACACACACACACACGATTAGGTTAAAAATTCCCAGACAAAGCGTGTGTGGGAGAGTGGCCAAAGAAGACACCTTCAGGTGACCTCAGGCTAGGTTTTCCTCTGATCTCCATATACATTTACATTCACTGAGCGTTTATCATGCAGACTTTTAGGGGAACAGACCATCACCATAGGCATTTTTTCAACTGCCCAATAAAAGGTGCAGAAACTGAGCAACAGGGCCCTAAAGTCTGATGATCAGTGTTGGTGGAGGACAGCCCAGGGCTGCATCAGAATCCTTCATGGACTTGGTACATATCAGTACACCCGCTTCCCAAGCCCTAGCCTGGAAGATATGCTGGGAGGTCCCAAGACTAAACTCCTGGCATTAGCCAGAACCCTTGTACTGGCTAGTTTTTCCATGCCACAACTTAGAATCACCTAGGAATAGAATCTCAGTTGAAGACCTATAGGGATGAGGTTGCCGGTGGGCATGTCTGTGGGGGGTTGTCTTGATTGTTAATTGACTCAGCCCACAGTGAGTGGCACCATTTTATAGTCTTGACCCTGAACTGTATCTCAGCACAAGCAACAGAAAACAAGTAGACAGCATGAGTGAGTGCATTATTTTCTCTCTGCTCTTGACTGAGGATGTGATGTGACTAGTCGCTTGCATTTCTGCCTTGGCTTTCCCTTAACAGTGGGTTGTAACCTGGAACTGTGAGCTCAGTGAACTCTTTCCTCCCATGAGTTGCTTTTGCTCAAGGTATTGCGTTGTGATAACAGCAATGAAATCAGAGCAATTTTGAAGGTGGTACTGTGTAATGTGAAACTTTGTCCTACAGGTTTAAACCATTCTACTAACATATGTGGCACTTTCTGTTCAAATCAGAAAATTAGCCATACTTAATTAAGTCAAATTAACATGAGAAGGGCCGGGCGTTGGTGGCGCACGTCTTTAATCCCAGCACTCGGGAGGCAGAGGCAGGCGGATCTCTGTGAGTTCGAGGCCAGGCTGGACCGATAGCCTCCAAAACAATACAGAGAAACCCTGTCTCGTAAAAACCAAAAAACAAACAAACAAACAAAAAAAATAAACAAATTAACATGAGAAGACGGTGACAGTTGAGATCATTGGGAGAAAACCAAGCAATAGATTAGCGCACTGTTGCATCCACTCAGCCCTGTCGGTGAGATCTTTAAAGCTTGAGTGAATGACATCTAGAGGGCGCTGTTGCATACTTTGCTGAGTTTGGCTACAAGGATCTGAGCAGGATTCAAATAAATTTCACTACTTAAGATTACTAAAATTTTATGAGTTTGTGGTGGGAACATTAAAATGTGTAGATTCACAAATAGAAAAAATAAAAATCACCACTCAGAGATAATTAGCATTATGGTGCTGGAGAGCCACTTTCTGTGTCCCTGGTGAAATGGTTCTACCTGCAAAACTGTGCATTGTAACTTTACTTGACAAGTAACCAATATAGTAAATCCCAGTCAGTGTCAATAAATATTGCAACACATTATTTATGTAATTAAGAGGTAGTCAAAATTAAACAGAAGGTGACTCATACCCGGTGGTTAACCATTTACATTCCTAAGTCTTTTTCTCTCTTACACACAATACTGAAACTGCCATTAGATGATTTGGACTCGCGTCGTTCATCGACACAGAACTGGTGTTAGTTCAAATCATATGTTAGTAAGCTTCTGATATTGCCTACTAGAGGTTTTATGACTCGCAGTGTGGACACTGCCCCTCCCTGCAGTGACCGCCAGCATCACCAGGGGCTATCCAACCCCCCAAGATGTCCTGATTAAAAAATCATGAAAAGGTCCCAGACTACCTGTGTGTGAGAAGCCCACGCTGAGAGCGCCTGCGTTGCCTGTGCTTTCACCAGCTGCTTCGTGCCACCGGCTTCCCCGCGTAAATCATTCCTAAAAGTCAGTTTCTGTGAAGGCGGATGAGGTGCGCCTGGCAGCACGCCGTATTCTGTTTCCTTGCATGTCTCTTACGTTTTCTGCATCCCACCTTCTTTTGCTTGATTCAGTCTCCATTTACTGATTCCCTGGTCATAGCCTTTCCCATTTTTATTTCATTTTTTTTTCCAAATGGATAACTTTGTCGGTTGAATTGACTTATTTATTTTGACCTAGTATGAAAGAAAAGTCAAAAACAACTAACATTTGACAAACAAAAAGGAGGTTAATAATTTTTGGTGCTTACCCAGAAGAGACTTTTTTTCTTTTTCTTTTTTGGTTTTTCGAGGCAGGGTTTCTCTGTGTAGCTTTGTAGACCAGGCTGACCTGGAACTCAAGGAGATCTGCCTGCCTCTGCCTCCTGAGTGCTGGAATTAAAGCATGCACCACCACCGCCCAGCCCAGAAGAGATTTTTAAAGACAACGAATGTTGACTGCTTCAAAAAGCAGTTTAATTAGGATCTATCTCATGTATCATGCAGTTGGCTG